TTTATTTCTGTCTGCCCTTTTTACATTTCTGTATGCATTATGCAAATGAGGAGGGGGTGTGTCCTAGAGAGTCAACTTCTGCCCATTGGTTGGTGAGCATTTTATTGCATCGGTCGAATCTACAGCAGAAGAGGAGAGTCTGAAGTCGAGTCTGAAGTCATTAGAGTGCGAGTAGGGACTCGTGTCCTTGCCAAGTATGTTCTTGGCGAGGACACACTTTGCCAAATACAACAAAAAATCGCCATCATAGCCAGCGGTCCTTCACACACGGCTATCCCAAGAGAGGGCCGCTGCAGACGGGCTGCCGTTAGACCTGGCTACTGTGAGGGTCGGAGCTCCGCTGGTTGCCGCGGTCCTCTCAAGTTTGGAACATTTTCTTTTAAATTACGCATTTAATCTGTGAGTGGGCCAAATGGAGATGCTTAAAAGTATAATTTTCTCGCCTCAAATAACCTTAAAACTTGTTGAACAACAGCAACAGAAAAGAGAACATTTAACTTAGTACTCTGAGCTCTGTGAGTTAAGAAGATGGACCGCCAAGCCAACCAATGAGCAGAAGTTGACTCTCTAGGACACACCCCCTCCTCATTTGCATAATGAGGCAGAAAGGCATACAGAAATGTAAAAAGGGCAGACAGAAATAAATAACTAGGGTAAAAAAATACAAAGGAAGAATAAAACACAAAAGTATTATAACATAAATAAATACTTAAAAATACAAGTAATTAAAAAATAAAGTTGAAGATTATAAAGGATGAAAAAATAAATGAGGTAAATATTACAAAGGCAAATAAATAAAGAAGCTAATTAAAAGAGTTATATACATTTATATCTCACTGTATAAATGTATAATTTAATAATTTAATTATAATGTATAATTTCATTTCTACTTACATTTATTTTGTTTATTGTATTTTTAGTGGCAATTAATTGTATGCTTATTTATTTATTGAGCATTATTTATTTCTGTATTTATTTTTATATATGGCAGAGTCAGTCCTCCATATGCAGGGGTTGTGCGTCAGAAATATAAATTGGCCTTTAGTGTTCAGGGCATGGGCGTAGGTTTGCATAGGGACCATAGGGACATGTCCCTACCAAAATTTTGAACCGACCTAATTGTCCCGACCAATAATTGGATGTGAGCAACATGTTTATAATTTACAGCAGTAGTTGTTGCAGCAGTGGCTTCTTTTCCTCTCGCAGCTCCTCTGCCTGGTCTCTCCTGTCCCTTTCATGTAGCAGCGCATGGAACTGTGCTGCGCTGTTTAACTCCACTCTCATTGGTTGTTCTGCCTTAAGTTCCGCCTTCTCTCTCTCTGATTGGCTGTTTTCTAGTCCGCGTGTGCTTGGAGCACAACATTGAAAATCTATTCACACTAGAATGCAGCGGTTACTACAATTAATATTAGGCTACAAAACTAGTCCCGATAAAAAAAAAAAAAAAAAGAAAGAAATGAATGAATATCATGTTCACTAAAGAACAAAAACCTTTTTTTTTTCTTTTATAAAACGAAATATTCTGAGTCAGCCAGGAGTTCTGAAGACTGCTGGAAAAATGGGCAAATAAAGGCTGTAAGCCATCAACATTTCTGATTCTTAGCCACAGCCACCTAAAACAGAAAATGTGAGGGTTTCTTTTTTACCGATATTTAGTTGCTATTACTGTTTTCATTTTTTGATGACTCTTTGAGGAAGTTCAGGCATAATTATTAGCAGGTGTTCTCTTATAAGTATAACAACAAGAAATGGCGTCTAAACATCTGCTATTTTTCGTTTAAAAAGCATAATTAGGGTTCCGCATAATAATAGTAATTTAATTGACTATTTATACTTCTAGAAATAGGATAAAGGCAAGAACAAACAGAGGAAGAATATTAACATTTTATCTTACATAGATTTCCACACAGTCTATAAGTAAATTAGTTCAAACATTAATGTCTGGTAAAAATGCTTGAATCTGGCTGTTTATTTTGGATATTATTATATTACAGATAAGATAGTGTTATATTGTCTTTTATAATTGTTAAAAGTGATTTTATATTTTAATACACTTGGGGCCGGATTTATCAAGATCCAATTTTGCGTGCAGTAATTTGCGCTCGCAAACTGGAATTTTGCGCGAGGGGCTGATCCATGGTTTGCGGGTGATTTAACAAGAGCGATTGCGTAACTGGTGGCAGGTGCAAAACTGTTGGAGACGCCCTATTTAAATGATGGTTTTGCGCGTTTTGTGGTTTGCGGCAAAGTAGTTTGTAGTTTGTACAAACTAGTGCATTAAGAAATTTAAATCTTACAGTGACACCCCCACCCCCTCCAAAAAAAAAAAAAATATATATATATATAGAGAAAAAACTTTGGCAACCTTTATTCCCTAAGGTGGTATGTGTCTGAATTTCTACTTCACTGCAGTAAAAAAAAAAAAAAAAAAAAAAATGGTGTTTTGTATTGGCCTTTAGAAAAATGCACATACCAAATGGCTCACAATGGGACTGTGGATGAGATTACTGCGCGTACGCATCCCTGCAGCATTGGCACGTTGCTCCACAGGCGCAGGGGGGGGTCTGGTTTCTCCGTTAGGGCGTCAGGGCGACATGGCATTTAGAACGTCGGACAGCACTTCTGAAAAACGAGATTGGGAGATCCAATGTTGCAAGGAGTTTTGTGATATCTGGTATTGCGTGGGTCCTCCTTGTGGCTGGCTCCAAATCCATTCTGAGTTCCCCCAACAGCTCCAAAATGGCAATGCTGGATAAACGACATGTTTTGATGATCGTTTCCTCGTTCATTCCAAAAATATTCACATGGAGTGAAAAACTGCGTTCTCTGCGTCTCCTTGCTTCATTTCGATGTCTCCTTCTTGCGACAATAACCGCTGCCATGTGTGCGCAATTACGCATACAGACCATTTGCACCTTCTTTTGAAACGTGTTAAATATAGAGTCATATACCATTAGCAAAATTGTTTTTAGGTTTGATAAATCACTTTGCGAGTGCTAAATTAATATATTTACATGTTCTCCTCCCACAAGACGCACTTTTTCGTGTAAACGCCCCATATTGCATATTCATTGCAGAAAAAGTACTAAATGGATAAGAGGCGCTATTTAGCACGTTTTAAAGACCAAATCCTTTTAGCACGCTGTTGATAGATCAGTTTGTACATTTTTTAGCGTGCGCAGTGAAATAGCTCACGTTTTAATACACGCAAACCTTTGATAGATCCGGCCCTTAGGCTCATTCTCAGTGTTTTGTTTGTAAATGATGTCACAAAAAAAATTAAATAGATATAAGGAGCTATTTAAACAGTCAGACAGTAAGCAATATAGGATGATGATGAAAGGTTGTGTTACATTTAATCCTTTACTATTAAAAATGCACTTATACATTATATGATTATAGGAAACACAGATATCCAGTAATAATGATGCAGGGCAGCTTGCAGGTGAAGCAGCTGGCCCTTCAGTGCTTCAGGTGATGTCTAAATAAACCAGGTGAAACTAAAATATTTCCACATGAGGAGTTCTGGGTGGAGAATATTGACAGACAAAAACATTTTTTAATCTTATATATATTATATATATATATATATTGTATTTTTACAATTTTGGTATAATTACTGATCTAAGTGGGTTGCTCTGTCGGGGAAAGGCACATTTTACATTTATATTACTGTATGTTTTAGAGTCTCTATACTCCATTTAATGATGAATCAATTACTAAATTAGTTGATGATTATTGAAATAATCAATAAATACGATTCATTTTTTCAGCCCTAGATAAAATACATGAAATGGGCTACACAGAGTAACTACAGCCCAGATGTTCAACTTTTATAGTGAAGTTAATATTTTAATAAATGTATTATTTTGCTTGATACAGAGAGAGCATAGTAGGTAAAATATAAGAGTGGGGTTTAACTCTGCATAATTCTACATCTTCAAAAGAAAATACTGTATTTACCTTCTCTCTTAGTCATTCAAATGAAACCATTTTCAAAGTGGAAAACAGTCCTAATTCCACATTCATCAGAGCTGGTGAAACTTCAAACATTGATAAACAGCATCTAGTGAGTGTAGTGCTTAAATTTTTTTTATTTATGTAGCAAAATGATGCTTTTCTCTTTTAACAATAAATTCCACTTATTAGTACAGATGCTCACTTCGAGCATAAAAAAGGGCATGCATATTGCATAGCACCAATGACACCCGACCAATAGTGTCCCTACCAAAGTTCAAATCAAACCTACGCCCTTGGTTCAGGGGTCGGTTTTGGATTGGGCCTCAGAAATGACCACTACTTGCCGTTACCATTTTTGAGCGTTCCAGGCTTCCTTAGTTTCCCCTATGGCTGAATAAATGAATACTCTATAGAATAAATATCCCAATCATATAAAACAAACAAGAAAAATAAAAAATGTTTCACTACTACTACTACTTAGCCAATGTCAAATATTTTTGTCTTTTATCTATACTCTTTTTATTCTCGCCTCTTTATTCAATTATTAGAGCAGGTACGGAAGAGGATTAGTGCCAGTGGAAAAAAAAAGTTAACTGATTTTTAAATTTTATTTCAGTTTAGTATTCTGTATTTTTTCTCAGAATTCTGACTTTTTTTCCCATGTTAAACTGAAATGAAATTTAAAAATCAGATAACTTTTTTTTTTTTTCAGTGGCCCTAATCCGCTTCCGTAAGCAGGAAATAAAGACAGATCGAGGAAAAAAAAAAATATGAGTGTCAAAATATGGCGTTAAATAAATTTTAAAATTGTCATGAAATCAAACAAAAATAATTTCATTATAATAGGATAGGTCCTTATAGATCCTCATTTGATGGCGTCTGCTAATAGACCTCTGATCTAACAATTAAAAAAGTAATTTAGTTAGATAATGTTTGTAAAATGAGCTTGATCAGAAATCTTTAAATGCAATACAGAAACCAAAACATTTCCTCTGGTATTAAAGGTGTCTGGAGGATCATCATGTGAAGTAAGGCAGAGAGACTGTCAACATAACGGCATGCTTTATTGGTATACAGTAAAGCATTTATAATACAGTAGTAAGGCATACATTTGATGGAAACTGACATGTTATTTGGAAAAAAAATAAAATAAAATTAGCTGAAAACTGACATGTTCTTCGAAATTGAACAAACAGATCTGATTCTGTTTGGGTGGAAAGTTTAAAAACTCATTGGGTCATGCTGCAGGAACATGACAGCGATCCATACGTCTTAATTAAATTAAGATTTTCCTTTAGTCACACATTAATATCAGAGCACCTCACACCGGAGAGGAAAACAGAACACCAAAACATTCAACTCTCACACAGGAAAAAAATAAACCAAACAGATTAGGTATGAGGTTGGACAGTAGTTAATGGAGCAGGACGTCCCATCAGTGTAAATAGTTTATTTATTATTAATACTGGAGCTGAAATTATTACTGCATTTCCAGAGATCAGGAGGTAGAGCTCCTGTTCTTCAGAGTCCTGAAATAAAAACCCAGCAACTTTCTAATGCGGCCGAGCTAATAAAGTGAACCGTTTCTTTACGGGGGAAGACGGGTAAGCAGATTTATTCTGCTGCTTTATCTAATAGAGAAAACAAATTAACTCTTTATAACCTGTTTTGCACTTTGCTTCTAAAACATAAGAGGAAAATAATAAAACATATTAGGGGGGAGAAAAATGAAGATTTTCACTATACTTTTCTTTTCAGACTGTTTTTGAGCCCTGAACTGACAAATCAACCCGACCAGGAGACGAGAGGAGCTCTGCAGACGTCCAAACCTCCGGTAGGCGACAAGCCTCTAATCTGACATTCATTTAAAAGGAGAGAGTAAAATGTCACCTATAGTAAAACATGGAGGTGGCAGCATTATGCTTGGGGACTATTTTTAATGTTGAAGGAAACAGGAACCTAATTTGATTCAGAGGCTCTCCGTCCAATCAAATTGAGCTGGATGATGTGACATCCAGCAGGGGGCGGGGCTTGGAACAAATCTGTGCAATTTACAAATTGTCGTAATAGTAAAATCTGTCAACTTTTTTTCCTTTGTCAGCGCCCTCTAGTGCATTTTAAATGCATCCACAGCTGTTTAATTAGGATCCTGCTTAAGGTATTTATCTAAAACCACTTTTAAACGGTAGAATCCCTCTAATTAATAAAAAAAAAAGTGATGACATTTTAGGCACAACATACAGAAACTCACTCTCTCACACAAGCAAATAAATCAGCCTCTTAGAAAACCCCTCATGGTTACAAAGCTTCAGCTTGTTTCCCCGGTTAGAAAGAGATAGCAAATATACGAGGACACTGAAGACGCGTTGCTGTAGGTCTCATCTTTTTCCTTTAAATCCCCCCCCCGACTCTAGTTTTATACAATTGCATAGAAGTTTAAAAACCAGCCTCTTTTAACAATAAAACAGATTGTTTTTAAGAAACTACTCAAATCTTAAGAGTTTTTTTTTTTGTATTTATTTTGTACTTGTTGCTTTAACTGCAATCCTTCACAAAAATAGACATTATATTCTCTGTGTAAACAGTTTTCAATCCAGTTTTGACTAGAAAAAGCATGCGATGAGATGGATGGAGGGGGTCAAAAAGGTCGGGCCGGCTCCAGTTCCACGCTCCGCTCGTCGGTCATGGCGCTGACGAGCGACTCCATGGCGCGGCCCAGGTCGTCCGCCATGTGGAACAAGCTGCCGATGCTGGTACCTGCTGGGAGGAAGGAACAGATCAACAAGAGTCTCGCTGCGTAACGACCAGAGCAACCTTTAAAGGTATAGGGGAGGATTTGCTTTTTCTAGGTGGATCATCAAAATAAGAGGTCCTTCTAACTGTCAATCATTCTGGTGAGCAATGTTTACATAAGGCCGTCCTACGTACTCCTCACTTATGCTATGTTCAGACCGCAAGTTGCTTCACTATATTTGTTGCTATAAGTGGGTAAAAAGTACTTTTAATGTTTTTAAGTGAGAAAGCACCTGAAAACTTCATCTGTGCAGTCAGAACATCAAGATTATGATCCTGCCTTCAAATATTATGTCGCTGTCGGAGCCACTTAGATCCCTATACACAGGCAAGTGCTCTGTCACTGGAAATCCCCTTCAGCATCAGCCTCTGGCCCGGTCGCATCGTGGCAGTTTTCCGCTGCTGTTCAAACCACAGGCACCAGAATAATAAAATCAATATTTTGCCGACAGGTGTTAACATTTTAAGTTAATTTAGGCATTAATAAACTGTTTCAGAGGATTGATCTTAGCGATCTGCATCAGGAACACTGTCTCCCTACCAGTTCCCAGATTAGCTCCTCTGATTGGTTGATGTGGTGCGTTGAGCAGCAAAAGTTAGATTTCCCAACTCAACTAGCTGCTGCCCGAAACGTGCTGCAGGACCTTTTGATGTGCGTCAACCATAAACTTTGCATTTAAAGTAGCTGCTTCTGCAACCTCTATCTTGTGCGGTCTGAATGTAGCATTACCGGTGTTGATATAGTGGAAAATTGCAGTTCTTTTGTTAAGTAAGCTTTGTATGAACGATGCAAAAAGCAACTTTTAAACAGAGCATGCACGAGGAGAAATGGGCTCGCACATGCTTAATGGGTGTGTTAGAGCAACGGGTACAGGGTTGTGCATTTTGTAGTAAAGTGTTTTCCAAAATTTGCGAAAATCCTCCACTCTACCTTTAAGCCAAAATTAGCCAGTTTAGTCATCTGAGGGTGTAGCCCTCTATGGAGAGAACTTATGTCTATAATGTGGATGCACAAGCACTATGGAGTGAAGTTTGTTCCATTATTGTTGCAAGTGAAGAACATTTTGTGAATTTGAAAAAGAAACATTTCAGAAAAAAGTTCTTAAAAGGTTTTGAGACTAACTTTGCTGTTTTTTGATTTCACAATTTGAATTTTAAAGTTTCGATTAAGCTTTAGGAATTGCATTTTACTAATCAAATTCTCTTCCCTTCAAGCCCCATACAAACGCGTCATCCCTCCAGAGAAAAGCCCTCCATAACAATAAATAAAATTTGAAATAAAATATGAAAAAACACTAGTTCCTCTTATAACCCTTTTGTTTTTTTATAATTTCTGGAAGACATATTGTCTCCGCTAATTGTTGTTTACAAAATTCCTGCCATACGGTTATCTATTTTCATTTAGGAGACCTAGTTTAACTAAATGTGTTCTTTTTATGTCCCGCTTTCCAAATGTCACCTTCTACTTCATAGTGGTCTGTGTGGACCAAAAGTAATTACATTACTAAAGTCCACAGAGAGTGGAGGCTGAAATCTGTAAACTAACATCTGAACAAATGTCTGTTGAACTTTTGTATACATATGATTAAATTTATTAGTTTCAACAATATTGGAACATAGTTCTCTCCATAAACGTCTAAACATGCAGTGGTGGTGTGGATGCGTGCAAAGCACCCAACATTCACATCCAGTGCCTGCCTTATTTAACACAAAATGGATTGTAATTTGTAATTTGATCAAAAAAAGGAATGATTAGTTGTTTTCTACAGGACTAAGAGACTTCATGGCCGTTAGTCTGGAGAATCGCAGGAAATACTTGAATATGTAAAACTAATACGCCTCTGTAAGGCACTGAATGTGATCAGCTGTGCTAAAAGGCAAAAGTCTGCCACCTGGTGGCAGAAATAACCAGACTTGCTTCTGATGAAAACAGTTTGTGATTAGATGAGAGCTACATGCTAACAGCAGACAAGCTCTATAGATGGAGAACGGAGGGGAGAGGGAACGCTGAGCGACTGACCTCTCATGGATGTCCCCTTCTACCGCCTGGCTCACCGAGAAAAGACAGGAAGAAAAGAGGGAAACGTCATCCTTCTGTTTGTAATACATGAATAGAAGGATGTCTAAGAAGTAAAGTATCCTCAAATTTCAAAACTTCATTTTCCAGATTGTTGAAAAGGGAATCAAGTTTGGGATTGCTCAAGTTTTTACTTTTTTCAGACCTGAAACTAACGCTTACAGTAGATATAAAGGTGAATAGATTGATACAAGAAGCCCGGATGTTTCCATCTTGGTCATTTCTGAACAGAAAGGAAAGTCAGTTCTATACCTTGGCTGTGAGGAAAAGTGTTGTTGAGCTGCTCCATCACTTCCTCCAGGCCAGGTGCATCTTGGGAAGGGCTGGAAAACTCATCATCGCCTGAAAACCAGCAAAGCATTTCATGATCTAAAAGTAAAAAAAACAGGAAAATAAAGAGCAGGAAACCTCTGAAGTTAGCTATTTTACCCATAGTGTCAGTAGTCTGGCTGGCAGCCACGCGGAGCAGAGGCAGAGATGAGTCGGAGCGCTGAGAGGAGGTGGAGGGAGAGGACAGCGCCGTGCCGTTCACCTTGGAATCCGTCTGCAAACGAAACAGAAACATTCAGAGGAGTCCAAGTGATGAGTCAGAACAGTAATGGCCACCACACGCAGACAAAACACCAACTCATCTTTAATGTCCAAGAAACTTGGCTTGATAACACGTATATATTCATCTGGTCAACTGACTGTATGCTGATTGTTGCTAAAGCGTATTACAAAAGATCATTACCAGAAAATTTAGTGAAAGGTAAAACTTATTATCAAAATGTGGGATATTGACTACAGATGTCCTGATACAACTCTTCATTTCCAATACCACATTTCCATGAATCATACATACTTCTATTGCTTATTTTGCAATGCAGAATGTAAAAAGTGTTTCTACTAGTATGACAACATCAGTGATTTTAGATGAAAGCCAGTATAATCTGAGATGAGCTTTTTAGGCTAATATCAAACCTATATTAGATATTAATATCATATCCCTCAGCTGAATTTAAAGGAAAACGCAGTTTGTTTTTACATTTTGCCCTTGATTTACGTTATTACATCCTGTTCTACTCGCCCATATGAGTTTTCTTTGTCATTTGGAGCTGTTCTGAAGATTTTCTTGTATTCCGGCACAAACTAAATTGTTCGTAATTTATTCTTTATGATACGCCAGCATTCATAACATGTAGGCGAATCACTGTCTCCCAGACAGCGGCGGTTATATTTTTCATATTTATATGTTTTAAAAACAAAGCGGAGTGTGTATGACGTCATACAAGCAGCCCGGGCCACAGGTGGCTACGCTCTACCTCATATATTCATTGGGCTAGCTAATCTGAATCGTTCAATTCCATTTCTAGATCGTAGTAGCATTAGACATCTTCCAGGCATGTAAGTAAAACTAGCAGCAGTTCAGCGGACAGGAAGAATGAATGGTAGCCAGTGCATGCGGATGATGTCATACACTCTCTGCTTTGTTTTAAAAAAACTATAAATATAAAAAATATAACCGCGGATGTCTGGGGGACAGTGATTCGCCTACATCAGGGGTGTAAACTGGTTCCAGAAAGCGCCGTTCGGCTGCAGGTTTTCTTTCTAACTAAGCAATAGCACACCAGATTCCAGTTATCTAATCTATAGAGTCCAATCTGAACATGATGACTTGATACCAATGGAGTCTGGTGTGCTATTGTTTGGTTGGAAAGAAAAACCTGTAGCCACACGGCCCTTTCTGGAACCAATTTGAAACCCCTGGCCTACATGTTATAAATGCTGGCGTCCCATAAATGATAAATTATAAACAGTTTAGTTTGTGCCTTCAAGTCGTTCTCCCATAGGAAGACGTTACTTGGATATAACCTAACGGAATATCTTCAGAACGGCTCCAAATGACACAAACCTCATATGGGTGAGTAGAACATGATGTAATAATGTAAAATCAAGGGGCCAATGTAAAAAAAAAAGACGTTTTCCTTTAAGGGAGAATCAGAGCATGCAGCAGTGGACATATATAGCTTGTGTAAAGCTAGCGGTGGCTAATTTCTCTACCTGCTGGAAACAAATTATGTGGGATTAGAGTCTGAAGCAGCCTGGATGACGGTGATTGGAAATCTGAGTAAAATGGGATATTTTGCTGAAGAAAAATGCAATAGAACAAAATGGTCTAGTCCAAGGACTGGGTGTCACTGGGTCTACCAGCTAACCAGAGCAGGACAGTATGGCTGAGCGATTCCAGCTACCTGCTCCAGAAGCTGCCTCAGCCTGTGCAGCTGGGACTCCAGCTGTTTGTTGTGGTCCTCCAGGATCTGCATGCGCGCCTCCAAGCGCCCCTTGTGCTGCCGCAGCAGCTTGGCCTCTGCGATGAGCTCGGCGTCTCGGGCGCTCTGCGGTGACACGGGCAGCATCTCAGGCGGCGAAGGCAGCGGGGACAGACCTTTCCTGTCGTGGGCCTTTTTCAATCGGTCGTACTCGGCTTGTAGCTTCCTGCAGGGAACGACAGGGAGAGGATTTTACTTCCTGGAAACGACCAAATGTATTTCACTAATTTAAAGGCCAGTTTTACAGACAAAAATGATCGTATAATGTTACACATAGTTTAAGCTTTGAAGCTTTCAACTGTGAACTGACAGTTTCTGGGCACAATAAATCTCAGTTCATCCATTGTCTTTTCGCATTTGGAAGCAGATATTAGCAGGTACAAATAATTTCCTTTGAAACATCCTTTTATTAACTGTGGTTTTGTATCAGTCATTTCAGTTTGTGAATATAATCAAAAGCCCTGAGTATTCTGTCATTTGGCGTAAATACTTTTTCCTAACACAGTTTGCAGATTTTTTTAGGCAAATTAAAGGTCATAGGTACAACTTTCATTTTCATCAAAACATTTTTTTTTTAAGTATTACATCCAAAGAACATTTAGAGGGGTCCAAAATATTTACTTTTGGTAACAACGCCGACCTCGACATGAACGGATCACGAACCAGCAGGAATAGTAGGTCTGTGTTTATTTAGGTAGTTAATTTTTTTAATTATTCAAACCCAAAAGGAAACAAAACGGGAAAAAATTTAACTTTTTTTTTTTTTTTTTTACTGACCCAAAACCAGAAAGCAGATAAACCATTTTTCCATTTGATGTTTTTATGCAGTAAACGAAAATGTAAAAAACAAACAATGTGTCCTTGAGGGCTCACTTCCAATTATCAGGAGTCTCTGCCCCACATACCAAACATTCTTACTCACAGAAAACTTAAGATTTTGTTTTGTTTGAGTATAAAAACAGAAAATTCCAAGAAGTTTGGGTCTGATCACGCTGATAGCCAGTTTGCCAAAAGAGGAACTCAACTATTTAAATCTGATCTCCACCCAGCTTGCTAAATTTTCCCGTTAAACGATTGAACTGGAGTGGCTGAAAATTAAGCTGGTTGGGCAGATTTAAGGCTCCTCAGTTCTGCAGAGAAAAACCTCTGGATTGTTCAGTTGGCACATCTTTTTCTCCCAAAGTTAGAAAGAGACATTTAAAGGGTCAGGCCATTTGTCTCATTGACAGAAAAAAAAGAAAAAAGAAATCATTTTCGTTTAGTGAAAAAATAAAAGGTAAAATGGGGGAAAGGGTTTGTCTTTCGTTTTCTTGTTTTGGTTCAATAAAGGAAAAACAGAAACAATAGTGTATTTTTGTTTATACATGTTTGGTTTCAATCAAAAACAATAAAATGCCTGAATATATATGGACCATGGTAGATTGAGCTCCATGATGGAGCTGAGAAATCACTTCTTCTTTGTGTTTCTCCAATTGAAGTGGGGCCAAAGTTTAAGCTTTAGATAGTTGGTACCAACTTAAGGAAGCCAGTTGGCCCAGAAACCAAGAGCTTAATGTTTGATTAGCATTAGCAGACCTGGCAAATGGCTGGAAAGCAGTAGAGATGAAAAGCAGGCAAAGCGCGAGGGCGCTACCTACTGGCCAGGAGGAGTTAAACATACAGCTATCACCTTTGAACGAAAGGTTTAAAAGGGTTTTCTTTTACTTTGCCTTCACATTTACTGGCTTTGTTGTATTGTTCTACAAGATTAGGGCTGTAAGCAAGGAATATTTTACAAATCTGATTTTCTTCTTCGATTAATAATCAGAAAGCTAAACGTTCTTCAAAGAAGACTTTTTACGAACTTAAAACTGGTGAAATTCAAACTTTTCCACTTCAGGAGTTCTGGATAGAGCATTTTTTTTTCTATCTTGGTATAATTACTGCTCCAAGTGTTACTCTGTCAGCTAAAGGCATGTTTAAAGTCTCTATAATCAAGTTAATGATTAATTTGATTAATACCTAAATTAATTTGTTTGTTTTAGCGCTATACAAGATAAACTCCAAATAAAAACACAGAAGCTGGAAATATTCTGTGACCCAAAGTGAAAAAGTTTAGCAGTGATCCAATCAGTGGATTTGGACGCCGGTGAATTCGGGTCCCGTCACTGACCTGTTCTCCTGCTCCAGGTCACCGAGGACCCTCTCCAGCTCTCCCTTCTCCTCCGTTTCCATAGAGATGAGGATCTGGGCGGGGCTGCGGGGCTGACTGAGAGGAGAGCCTTGGTTCAGAGACTGGCAGTAGTGCTGGATCAACATGTGCTCGTCATCGCTGCAGATACACACACACACACGCATCAAACATACCCACCAATGATCGACACGCACATTCATAAGGTCAGTGAGACACCAGAGGACATGCATGTATAAACACACGCACACATACAAACACACAGAGGGGAAAATGGAGAAAAGAAAACCAGAAGGTGAATGAAGGAACAGCAGAAATAGAACAGATGGAGAATCTAAAATATAACAGAGCTGCTCTCCTGTCCTGAGCCGTGTGTATTAGAACGCTTTAGGAGAAAAACATTTGGGTTTTTATCATCAATTTACCAGCAGCTGAGCTGCTTTGTCCAAAGTTTGGATTTTGTTCACTGCAAACATAAAACTTTTTGGGGTTTTTTTTCACATGGACACAAAAAAAATCAAAGTTCTGGAAGCGTGTTTATAAACTACCACATACTTTTGATGCAGAATAATAATAAAAATAAAAATACCAAGAGAGGAAAAACTATGGAAGTAAATCTGTGTCACTGGGATTTAAATTAAAAATGCCACTGAAATTTAAATGTTGCATGTTTGTACTTACTGTTTCAGTGTTAAAATATATTCAGAACAAATTTTTTACCTAAAAAAAATTCATTGTCATTATTTCTACACAGTTGAAATTTCATTTGTTATTTTCTCTTCAAGCTAAAAATTCACATTACTATTTCAAAGTGATTACTATTTTTCAGTTTAATTTTTGAGTGTTAAAAAAAATCTGCATATAAAAAAATTCAACGTTTCAAAATTCAAACTCAATATTTTCAGCCTCCTAAGGTTCATCTGGCTCTATTTCACTGTCTTAAATTCGGCGTCTAAATTCAGTGTAAAAAGGGAAGGGTTACTTCAGGTCACAGACATTAGCAATGGATTGTGGCGTCCAACACCCAGCCAATCCCGTTACGGTTTCCTAGTCATGTGATGTGACGCTTGTGGCGCTTATGCTAATGGAAAACCAGCATGACGGAGCCAGTCATGCAAGCTAACGCTAACTCAACTATGAGTTTATTACTTTCATGCTGGTTTTCCTTCCGTATTACCGCCACAAGCGTCACGTCACATGACTAGGAAACCGTAACGGGATTGGCTGGGTGTTGGACGCCACTATCCATTGCTAATGTCTGTGACCTAAAGTAACCGCCTTCCCTTTTTACACTGAATTTAGACGCCGAATTTAAGACTGTGAAATAGAGCCAGTTGAATCTCAGGAGGCTGAAAATATTGAGTTTGAATTTTGAAAGGTTGAATTTTTGTTATATGCAGATTTTTTTTAACACTGAAAAATAAGTATTGAAAATGTAATCACTTGAAATAGTAATGTGAATTTTTAGCTTGAAGAGAAAATAACAAATGAAATTTCAACCGTGTAGAAATAATGACGATTTTTTTTTAGGTAAAAAATGTGTTCTGAATATATTTTAACACTGAAACAGTAAGTACAAACATACAACATTTAAATTTCAGTGACAGATTTACTTTCATAAAAAATCTATAGTTTAGCTTTTACATTTCAAACTGTGCATAAGGCTAATCCAGATTAATATCCTGTTAATCCACTGATCAGATATAATGACTTGATTTATGGACAAAAAAATCATGTCTGAATGTAGAGAATTATTCACCGCTCTATTTACAAAAAAGGGGGATTTTCCTTGTTTTTTTTACTCGTTTTACATTAGAACAGTGCGACCTTGAGCTAAAATGATTTGATAGAGACTAGAGAGCATTTCTAAAAGCTTCAGTTTGCTTCCTTACCTGAATCGTTGAGCCTTTTCTATTTGTTTTTATGCATCTCTTGAATATATTAATAGAGAAAAAATTAGTTTTTGTTTACGATGAATCTGTTTTAAAAGCAGCAAACTGAAATGATTTATGTTTTTATTTCAACTAAATGCAACCCTGAGGGGAAACTGTTGCTCATCAGCTCCTCACAAATGCTTATCTCTCCAACATACTCAGTTTGTTTCTTTGAGGGAAAATCAGAGGAATTTAATGCATGGTTTCTGCAATAATTTAAAATAAATATACTTGATTTGCTGACATAATATCGAGGAAGGACAATAAATCCAGAATACACATTTACAGACGAATAACACAGGCAGCCAGTGGAAACAAGGACAACATAATCAGCAGGAAGCCAGTCAGTGAGTTAGGGAGGAGGACGGGGCAGAACAAAACAAAACAAGAAGCTGTTCTCACATGCTCTCATTGGGTGAGATACTGTCATTCAGATAAGAGCCATTACGGTTCTCCATTTCAGCTAACCTGCGGAGGGGGAAGAAAGAGAGCAGTCAGTCTTTAAAGCATCAGCAGGATCACCTGCCAGATTTAGGGGCTTCAGTCAGATCCAGAACAGTTTTAGTCACAGATGTGGCTACAGCTGGAGCAATCGGACCATTCCCTTCACAAACGATATGAATCTGTATCTTTATAGCTTCACAAGTACTTTTTGGTATTTTGGCTAATTAATTAATTTATAGATTAAACAATCAATATTGCACAATAGTAAGAGTAAGTAAACCTGGTACAAGAGTGAAGCAACTGTTTAAGTCCAGCTACCAGGTATATTATATATATATATATATATGTGTGTGTGTTTATAGATGGATAGATTTATGCACAATAGACTTATAGATGTTCCATTGATAGAAGGCTGAGATGTTCTGAAGGTATTTTAGCTGCTCCACTGGAAAAACGATCTAGAAATAAGTTAAAATTTCATAAATCAAGTGTATTTACCCTTAATTTTAGTAGGTAAATTAGATACTTTGCCAGTGGAATGATTATTTTTACTCTTAAAATTAGATAATTAGATCATTTGCACTTGAAATAAAACAATGCAATTGTGTTTTCTTATTTTAAGTGGAAGTTGTCTTGTTCCATTGGCAAAATGTCCCTTTTTCTCCTCAATCCAAGAATAAATGCACTTATTTTAAGAAAAAATGACTTATCTATAATTGTATCAGTGTATCAGCTTTTGTCATCTAGGGATAAAGTTTTAAGCAAGACCGGATGAGAGCATCTCTAAAAATCCATTTTCAAATGTGGACGTTGGCTACATTCACACTGCAGCTCAATTCCGAATTTTCATGTGAATTAGATTTTTTTTTTTTTTTTTGCGTCGTCTTTTACATTTCCAAATATATGCGACTTGTATGCGATCTCCTGTGTGAACTGATGTCATAAAACGTAAGAGTCCCGCATGCGCAGTAGAGGATGCGATGACATCACAGGCTAGCGTGCTCTGATCCAGAATGCAGCGGCTCGGCTTCTTACAGGAACCAGGAAGTGTGACCATGTAAGGCCTAAACTGGCCTCTTTACATTGGCTGCCTGTCTTTTACCAAATAGATTTTAGGATTCTCTTAATAACTTATAAAGTCTTAAATGGATTCCCTCCTCCTTATCTTAGAGACCTTTTAAAATTCCAGTCTGTGTCAACAGGTCTACGCTCTAATAATCAACTATTACTGACAGTCCCTCGGACTCGACTTAAGAGGAAAGGAGATCGGACCTTTTTCTGTTGTTGCTCCAATTCTGTGGAACCAATTACCTCTTCAAATGAAATCCGCCCACAGCCTGGATCATTTTAAATCGCTTCTTAAAACTTATTTTTACTCTTCAGCTTTTAATTGAAGCAGTGTTTCACATTCTGTTTTGTTAATTGATGTTGTCTTTCCTGTAAAGCACTTTGGTGCAGTTTTTTTCCTGTTTTTAAAGTGCTATATAAATAAATTTGACATTGACAGTGTGTTTACGGAAGTAAGCATGGATGGTAGTGCCAGATCGCATCTAGTGATCTTTCCCGACCATAAAAACTCAATCTTTTCAAGATGGTTAAACATAAATACTACTCTCCGCGTCATTTTCCATCATGGTTGTTGTTTTTCTTACCACTTATTCATAGCAAAACCCAGAATAGTGACCTTTGTCGGGTATTAATGGCGTTCAGGTCGGATGAATGCGACCTGGCTGTTCACACACAGGTCGCATTTGAAAAGATCAGCTTCGTATCGGATTCAGGACCACATAGCCAAGTGGCCTGGGTCGCATTGGAAAAAATCGGATCTGTGTTGTTCAGACAGCTATTAAGAGATCAGATCCAGATCGCATATGGGCCAAAAAAATCGGATTTGGGTCACTTCAGGCTGCGGTGTGAACGTAGCCTTTGACTAGGCCATCCTAAAATAAAAATATGCTATGATCTAAGCTACTCCACACTAGTTTTAATTGTAGATTAACGGCTGTATTCCTACTAGATCTCTTCTTCTTCTCACCATTCTCATACTTCAAGGAAGGGCATATCTGCTCAGAGCATTACTAGTGGTATTCTCCCACCTGAGCTATAGATCTCTTTAGCTCTGTCAAAGGAGAAAGTAGGTTTACAAGTTCCTGACGATCCTCCGCGAGCCTTAAAAGCCTGGAATAGTAACCCTGCTTTTGAGTTCTCCACAATTTGATCCACTAATCCGTCTGCTGCTCTCCTTGGTCTCTACAATGGTGTTGAATTTATACTGAAAGGGAAGGAGTCAACTAAAATAGAATAAACAGATTTGGAATCACAGTTTAAGACTAACCCCTTGGAGATGCTACCCTTCATTTCTCTACTTCTTCAAAATGGGACTAGCGTTTTTATCGAAAGATATGTTGGTTTTCTCAGAGTTTGTAGTTATGCAAACAAATCAACAGCTGAAGGACGTGAAGAGCCAAATCAGCCGATACAACAGCGCCATTAAACTAAATGACTTATTCAGTCGTTCATTCAGAAGCTGGTGGCGTTGCTTCGAGGAGACATCTGGCCTGCTCTTGCTGCCCCCTCAAATGCGTGTTCTCAACCCCTTGTGTCTAAATGGCCGATCCAGCAGGAATAACTCCTCCAGTCAATCATCTGTATTACATATTGTAAATAATTGCTTGCTCTATATATCAGCCATCCGCTGTGAAACGTTCAGGGCTGAGGACAGCAGCAGGGAATATAGGTGAAATAAAAACATAAGTAGGGGCCATAAAAACCGCTTCACACTGTCATGTTAGCAACACCTAATGCAACAAAAGCAGGAACCCGGGGAGAGGGTTACCGGTTGGCGTAGTGCTCGATACGAGAATGGGTGTCATCATGGGAGAGTTGAGGGGACGATCCATGTCTGCAGGAGGAAAAAAGAGAACTGGTAGGTAAAAATGAAAAGGGCAGTTTGATCTCCCAGAAATGTTTAATAAAAGCTGAAAATGAGTCAAACATTAATCGGATTAATAATAATAATAATACATTTTATTGTATTACTACTTGAAAGCCATTTTAAACAAAACTGCTTCTTCTTTAATCAGATTTATTTGTCCTTTCTTTCCTGATCTTCTTTAAATTAATGACTGTAAAAAATTTACATAATAAATATTTGTTGAGGTAAATCTTTAATTTAAAACAGGTCTACTTTGGGGTGGGTTTCAACTGTTTTATGTGCATTTAATTTATAAGGTTTGGTTTCCATGACGTTTCCTGTAGAAATTCATTCACCTAACCACAAGGTGGCAGTAAAGCTAATGTTTTCCATTTTAAAAAAAAGGGAGACAGTACGCAAAGCTGAGGATAAAGCATCTAAGATGAGGTAAGTGGATGAAAATACAGCCAACAAGCTGCAAACTGCTCCAGCTAAAGTTTCAGAATGAGCATGGTGTGACAGCCAGATACTCACGCATGGTCTACAGGCCAGAAGTTGATCAGCGTGACAGGACTGTAAGAGAGAAAATAACATCAAAGCTGGATCTTCCTACTAATGTCCTGTAAGTTCCAAAGTTCAATAGCATGGACCTGTTCTTCAATGAGGTTCTATTCAGTAAAAGGAAGTTAAGCATCCACACACAGCTCAAATATAAAAGTGCAAAAATGTTTGTTTTACATGTTAAAAGAGGAAAGAGTCCAGTTAAACATTAATCTAAAGCAGGATTCCACGACACATCTGAACGCTGCCAGATTTTAGCATCAAAGGCATCTATTGTATGTGTCAAATAACATTTTATAGCGAAATACTAATTAAATAAGGCAACAAGCAGAAGGTTTTTTTGGAATCCATTAGATAACTCACTACTTATGGTGAGAAACAAAGGAAATTCCGTAAAGATTAAAAAAAATATCCACTGGACTTGGTTTCCAAGATTTGAAGACGTTTCGCCACCTCTATAGGAAACTTTCTCAATTCAAATGTCTGGATCCGCAGTGAGTTTGAGTCTTACAGTATATAGACATTGGAAACGTGCAAATGGTAACCGATGAATGGGTCGTTTGGTTCCATTGTTAGCCTGTAATATCTGAAACCTGTCTATGATTCTGAAGGTCGGTCGTTAAGGAGGTATTGTTCACCGGCTGGAGCGGGTAGGTCCCTCGTTCCTCTGTGATGGGGTGGGGGGTTTGGTGATATCTGGAAGGGAGCATCTCTATAACTGAATAGTAAGTTTTAGGAAGCTGGAGTCCACCACCTCTGTTTAAAGTTGTTTTTTCTCTCTTAACATAGATGGCTTCCTTCACGCCCCTCTCAAACCACCTATTTTCTTTATCCAGAATGTGAACATTCTGGTCCTCAAAAGAATGTCCTTTGTCCACAATGTGTAGATGTACTGCAGAGTCTTGTCTGGACAAGCGATACAAGGCTTTGTCTCTATATAAAGACTCAAACTCACTGCGGATCCAGACATTTGAATTGAGAAAGCTTCCTGGAGAGGTGGCGAAACGTCTTCAAACCTTGGAAACCAAGTCCAGTGGATATTTTTTTTATTTTTTACGGAATGACTATGGCCTGGATGACTAGGAACCTTCATCAGCATAAAGGAAATTAAACTTCAGACCTATTTAACAAATAACTTAAACCACTCTTAGCGCGCGTGATGCACCGACCCAAAGTTCTTGAATTTAGTGTTTTGCTTCTGAAGCTGTCGAATCTATTCTGCCATCGCCGGTCGACACAAACGCCTGATTTCCTCCGCTCCTTGTTTATATCCTACTAGTTTCTTTCTTCCATTTACCTGTGTGGGATCGCTAGTGCCCCGCCCAATGGCCTGGCATTAGTATAAAACAGCTATTCTCCAAATACAGTCAAATTTGGTCATGATATAATAATCCGACATATTTTTTAGAAATATTTTGATTTGTTCTACTTCATCACAATTTATGGAAACATTAATTGATAGTGGTTGTAAGTGAAATTACATCAATATTATATGTAAATATTATTTAATAGTGATGTAAATTTAGCATTTAGCATTTCTTTTGAAATCTCATGACATATTAGGTAGCAAAACACACAATGTGAAATGCAAAATGCTCTCACAACAACTGATGAGGTTGCAGGTCGACATGTTAAAAAACAAGTTAAAAGTTACCAAACCCCTTTTAAAAGTTAAAAGACGTGTTTTTTTTATGAAAAAATCCAATACTTTTATATCTTTCAAGCACGTGATATTGTATTTAAAATAATGAATTTTCATGCTATTTGTCAATAAAGCTACAGTATTTAGTTTCACATTTAATTTAGGGTTAAAAATGACTGAAAAATCAATGGGAGAAAACACTTGGTGCTCTCTACTTATAGATGAAGGAGAATGAATGTGTGAGTGAGCCCCACGTTTCCATGTTGTCCCCCTCCAGGATGGTCTGGACGGGCAGGTAGCCCATGCGCGGGTGTTTGGCAAAGTAGCGCTTGGTCCTGAATTTGTTCTTCAGCACCTTGGCGAAATCCCGGACATCCTCCCCTGAAGTGGTCTGCAGAGACGGGGAGAGGAAGCGGCACACAGAAAATAAAACCGATCAAAGTCAGAGGTTTGCATCTTTTCTTTTAGCCGACCTATGAAGGAACGTCACAAAGAAACGTTGCTCATCTGTTCTAGAAGTTCCTACAGTTGAGGAATGATGAGTTGCTTCAGCCTACTTCATGTTGACAGACTGGTTCTGTCTAAGTTTTCTCTATTCTAACTTTTGCACTGCAAAAAACATCTAGAATTAAGTAAAAAAAAAATCTTTAATTGAGTGTATTTACCCTTAATTTTAGCAGTTAAATAAGATTATTTGCCAATGGAATGAGTATCTCTACCCCTAAAACAAGATAATTAGATAATATGCGCTCGAAATAAGACAAAGTTGTTTGTTTCTTATTTTAAATGTAAATTGTCTTGTTCCATTGGCAGTATCTCAATTACCTCCTCAATTCAAGAAAAAATGCACTTAATTTAAGCAAAAATGACTAATTTAGATTGCCATTTTTTGCAGTGTGTGTTGATTAGTTAAACAAAATAATTTTCTTTTTATTTCACTCAGTTTTTATTTCACTCACGTTTTTTGGTATTTAGATGGATATTCGGTTCGGATGCTTTTTCTCATTAAATCTATGAAAGCGTGACTTATAGTCTGCACTGTTTACACGGGTAATCTCTGAAATAAAATGATTTAAATGATCTCAAACATAAGGGATCTGGAAGGTGGGAAGTGGTTTGCATTGTGGTGTAAATTCAGTCACACTTGGATCACTAATTATAGAGAATTAAATATCTGATTATCAAACCTATAGTTTCCCATCTAATCTGAAACCGGTTCAAGAACCACTTTGATATGAAGTAAATGGATCCAGAGGCGGAAGCTAAATCTGAGGCGGACTTTTGATTTTTGTGTTCATCTAACTGATGAAACCGTGTTGTTCTCCGCAGATTTATAGTAGAAAAACTCAATAAACTGTCTGTAAACTGAAACTATCTTCAGTATTGATGCTCAAATGAAGTCCCACCTTCTTTCCAACCATTTTAGATTATTTCGAATCAAAATCGGAGCTTGTAAAAATGTTCAGCTCCACCGCAGGGCCAGAGAAGATGGAACGTCGCAAAACAGAAAAAAATATGAGTATTCTTCTCTATTCCTGGAAGCTGGTTCAATTCAATTCTTTGGAGGCAACCATTTTTAATGATCCCCCTCTTAAAGCAAATAAATCAGCTTATTAGCTTAATAGAGCAACAGTGGCTCGACTCTAAAAGCTCTAAGATGCAATTTAGACAACTTGAAAATATATACTTTTCTTTTTTTTTTTAAAGCAGGGATGTCGTACCGGCGTGCAGTATTCAACCATGGGGTATTGCATCTTATGTCCCTTGGCGACGCGGCCGGAGAAGAAGCAGCTTTGGCAAATGTCGTAGTTGAAATGTTTCAGGCTTCGATATCTGAAAAAAAATCAGAGTTAGGAAAAGATTTTAGATTTTAAATCAGGTGAAGGACAAAAAAAATCCAAGAATTAGCCTCCAAGTGTAAAAAAATGTAACACTAAAGGTGGAAAAGGTTTTTTTTTTCCCCCTCAGCCTTCCTTCCAGGGTGGAGTGTTTGCTTGTTAATGATGCATGGGCTGGGCTGAACGTCTCCCTGCATCAGGCTACATTTGCTTTCAAAGCAGCACAAACCTGACTCAGGCTTCCCCCTGATAAAAAAGCCTCTTAACAGTTGTTAGAAAAAAGCTGAGTCATGTTCAGGGTCAGCTAATAGAAGCTTTATGATCTCAGCTCTATTATGGAGACATGTTTACATCTCAGTCAAGCTATTACATCATTTTAAGGTTACCATGGTATCCAGCAACACACAAAGCAGCTGAAGTCAGCTTGTAGGGAAGAAAATGAGAAAAAAAGCTTTTTTTTTTTGTCCACAGAGAAAGATCTGGATCAAACAGGTATTCCACTCCGTCCTTTCTCCCCAGTTCAGTCGGTTCGGCCTGTTAGCTGGATTTAAATCGTCGTTCTGTGTATTTCAGAACATAAACCCCCCCCCCAAACAGTCCACAATAATAATTAAAAGATTAAATGGCCGTCTGCCACAAGGATCTTAGTGAGAATATCCGCCATGTTGCTCACCTGAAGCCAATGATGGGGCACTCCTTGCAGATGTTGCACTTGGCCTGATGCTTGGCGGTTTCAGCAGCCGCCACCCGATGTAGGACGGGGAGCCACACCATAGACTGAGGCTCCAGGCGCATCCAGTCCAGGAACATGGAGGCTTCCAGCTCAGGTTTGTTATTGGCCTTTAAAAATAAAAAACGTAGAACCGTTAGATACCTGATCTCTAACGGTTAAATTATAAATCTTCCCATAAAGTCAAAGTATTTACATATAAACCTCAATGTTTAATCATTTTTCACTTATTTAAAGGTTATTAAGTTAAAAGATTTCAATGCAATTTATTTAGTTATGTTCAATTAAGGGGGCGGAGCTTTCTTTGTGGGGTGCTTTGTCTGTTACAGCTAAATGTAGCATGATGGCTAAATGCTGGGCTGCATAAAACGGTTTGAATTCAGTCCAACTGCCACATCGTACGACGTTTGCTTATTCGCTGGGTGAGTAGAGAAGCAGGAAAGGGGAGAATGGAGTCTGCAGACCTTTCTCCTACGCTATTTATGTATTAGATTAAATACTTCTGCATATATTAATAATATTTACATTCTGAATAAAGCAGATCTCCATAGATCATCTCCATGTGAAGGTGCAGTAATCCAGGCAGAAACTAAATAATCTAGTTTGGGATGATATTCTAAGTCTTTAACGATATTCTACAAATATTGAATGTACTGCTGCTTTACTATGAAGCAACATATTTTGTTGTATTTTCTGCATTTTTCCTGGTATGATAGTATTTAAATAAATTAAAACAAAAGTATAATTAGAAAAAATTGGTGATAAAGAAAAATATTAAGTGTACTTCCCTCATTTCTACACGCCTGTTCAGAAAAAGTCCTAAAGACTAAGACTAAAGTCGACTCCAGCTACTGAAGTGGGTAATGAGACGCTGCCGCCACACAGAAATTAAAAGGCAGGTAATCACAGGTGTGACTCAAAAAGCCGCAGAAATAGCCTCTGTTTTGTGTTTGTCCTTTTATTTACAGCACGCCCATTTTTGTTTTCAAAGCCAACTCTGAGTGAGGCACATACAAACTGGAAGCAGCTGCGGACGGAGGGCTCGATGTTGGAGCCGCCGAAGGACGCCACCTCGCCGAGCTGCCGAGGGATCTGGATGGAATCATGGAGGAGAAGGCCCAGACGGCGCTGGTCACAGAAACCTGTGGCGCTGGCGACCTGTCGGAACAAGACTGGAGACAAAGAATAAAAGATGCAGACCAAATAAGAGGGAGTGGTGGAAAATTGTGATTTTTTTAAAAATATCTAAATTCATGAAAAAATTCTATATAAATAATATATATACACACACATACATAAATATATGTATATATATAAAATGTTTAAAGTTTTGATGTCCCATTTATATAAACTTAAAAATTTAAATATGGAGAAAAAAAAAATCAAATGTACAAAATATTACATCAATAATTCTTTTTTGTAAATTTGACTTAAAGGGATAGTTCGGTATTTTTGACATGAATCTGTATGGCATCCCCATCACCAGCGGCATGCAATCACACTGACTTACCCCTGGCAGCGTCCTGTGAGCAGAGTTATCGTCCAGTTTTGGTCAAGCCGAAAGTAGTCCTGCAGGTTTTTAGGAACAGCGAAATAAAACTTTTCTCTTCCCAAAACATTATGTGTCCAAAAGAGTGATATTTTCGCAGGGGTAAGTCAGTGTGATTGCATGCCGCTGGTGATGGGGATGCCATACAGATTCATGTCAAAAATACCGAACTATCCCTTTAATAGTCATATATACGGAACAGGATTAGGGCCACTGAAAAAATAAAAAAGTTAACTGATTTTTATATTTTATTTCAGTATAATATGAGAAAAAAGTCAAAATTCTGAGAAAAAAAGGTCAAAATTCTGAGATTAAAGTCAGAATTCTGAGAAAAAAAGTCAGAATTCTGAGGGAAAAAGTCAAAATTCTGAGATTAAAGTCAAAATTCTGAGATTAAAGTCAGAATTCTGAGAAAAAAAGGTCAAAATTCTGAGTTTAAAGTCAGAATTCTGAGGAAGAAAACGACAAAATTCTGAGATTAAAGTCAGAATTTGAGAAAAAGTCAGAATTCTGAGGAAAAAGTCAAAATTTTTAGATTAAAGTCAGAATTCTGAGAAAAAAAGGTCAAAATTCTGAGATTAAAGTCAGAATTCAGACTTTTTCTAATATTAAACTGAAATATTTAAAAATCAGTTAACTTTTTTTCATTTTTTTCCCTCAGTAGCCCTAATCCTCTTCCGTACATATAAACTCAGAAACCCAAATTAGAGCAGAATTTCTCATTTGAATTTTGACTTCAAAGTCAAAAACTTAAATAAATATATGTTTGTTTGTTATTTTTTTTTAGTTTTTACGGCACTAGTGGCCCACCCTTTATATGGACAGTAGGCTGACAGGAAAGGGGGCATGAGAGAGGGGGGGAGACATGCGGGAAAGGACTAAGGCGCCACTGCACACCAAAATGAATATATGTTTATATGTAAAATCTAACAGTTTACAAAATTATACAACTTATTGACTTATGAAAATTATATTTTTTTTTACAAATTTTACACTTCGGTAAAAAAATAAATAAAATATATATATATATATATATATATATATCTCTATATATATATATATATCTCTATATATATATATATATATATATATATATATATATATATATCTATCTATATATATATATATATATATATATATATATCTATCTATATATATATATATATATATATATATCTATCTATATATATATATATATAGATATATATATGTATATCTATATATATAGATATATATATATATATCTATATATATATATATATATATATTTAACCTATTAAGGATATTTAATGGATGAGCTGCACATTGGGTGGACTTACATCTGTATTTATCCTCCAGGTGGGCTTTGCAAAGTGAGATGATCCCAGTTTTGAATGACAGAGTCCGGATCTTTCCGGTTCGCCCGCTGCCAAAGGAACATTTGACTCCATTAGACCAACTTCAAAGCGCTATCGGGGCTACGGCATGCTTTGCTTTACGTACGTGTCGTAGACGTTGAGCAGCCAGTTGAGGCACATGTCCACGCTGAGCTGGACGTTGACCAGGTGAGAGTGGCTCTGCTCCAGCTGCTGGTACAGGCTGGTCAGACAGGCCATCAGTTGGGAAATGTCCAGCAGCTGCTCGTTCTGCTTCAGGTTGTGTTGCTCGAACACCTCACAGGCCGTCTGCATGCTCAGCAGGTCCACTATGGAAGGACACGCCACCATAGCTGGTCAGCAGGTTCTCCACAGACATGCAGCTCTAAGCAGAGGTCCTCATTTAGAGTTTGAACCCATTTACCTAGCAGGGCTCCAGAGTTTTTTAAAATCAAAGTGTTTACGTTAGACATTTCTTCAGCAGTTTTAAAGGTGTTTTGAGTGTTTTTAACAAACATTGCCAAATTCTGTTTTCTCATTTAAAAATAGTGGACAAAATAGACATCTTTGTGTTCAATAATGTATTTTTACATCTTCTTATCAATAACAGTGAATACTATTTCACACCTTGCCCCTTAAACTGAGCTACAAAAGGCTGAAAGGTGACGCCTCCAATTCATCCCCCCTCAACAATCGCATACGTCATCATTAATCACTGCGCCATTTTAGGGTTATCTGCTGGAATGTAAGAAGTCTGCAACACCTGCCAACATGCCAGGGGATCACGATAGCAATAACAATCACTGTGTTACTTTCAGGTTGCAGACATGCCTTTTTTTCTCCTTAACAATGTTTTATGTTGTCATGCACTTAAAAAAAAAAGCTGGATAAAGGACGTTATCTAAACAAATTTAAGTTTAGCAAAGTTACACAAATTACAAACGTTGCCGATTTTTTATCTTAGTGGATTATATCCAAAAACTTGATGTTTAACCAAGGTTAGCATGGAAATTTGTTGTATCCCTCCATTTTAAGCATCTTCTTAAAAGAATTTTGTTTGAAGGGGTATATAACCCTACAACTTACCCCTTCCTCTTGGTCCTAACAAGCATTGGGACACCCCTACATATGAACGCATAAAACTGAGGGATAGGGGCCAAGGGGTTTAATGGGATTCTCCCTAAACTAAAAGCCTTGATTGAAAGAGTAGGCCTCCCTACTGCTTTAGCAGCTGTTAGATATAGTGGATCATATTTCTGAAAAATGTAGGTTAGAAACATCAAATTCTCTTAGCTACTCTGCGGGAATTGCAATTAATAGCTCAAAGACACTAACTTAGCCAAAGAACAAACTTTTCGCAATGTAAGAAACACCCCTGAAACCGAAGCTCACTAGATACCGAAACTACCAAAGAATAATCATGGACAGCTGTGTAAGGGACAACAAATAGATACGATAAACCGTCCTGAACTTGGAGCCAAAACAAGATCTTTCACCATAATTCTAATATGACTGCATAACATTCAAATATAAAATAGAATTTAGAGCATTTCAATGCCAGGTTTTTCATTAAAAAGGCAAAAAGAGCAAAGAACCAAGATCAGAACCTTGAGGAATGCCCTCCTTTATTATTATTTATGTCCCAGGAAATTTCAACCAAATTCTGTAACCATAAGTAAAAAAAATGCTTTACCTCTTTTTTTTTTTTTTTTTTCTTTTATAACTTATGGACACTCAGAGGAAAGGCAGACTTTTCTAACTGATTCCAAAGCCTTTTATAGGCACGTCTCAAACCAGATTGCTCCAGGTTGACGTCAAAAAAAGCTTAATATTTACATCTGCTGACTTATTAATAGTTTGGGGTTTAAAGACCATTGGGTTTCAGATATCTTATCCCACTCAGCAACCAAAGGATGGAAAACTGGTGAATAATCGTCTAAACACCGTCAGTCATTGACAAAGAAAAAAAACAAAAAGTCTTGCAGGTTTGCAGCAAAACCATTTTAATTAAATGTTTTACTGGTTTAAATAATTTAAGCAGTTAAAAGACTTGGATTTTTAAGATATATAAACATTCAGGGTGTAGCAACCATCTGTTCATTTATATTTAGCCTCTTTTTGCCCTGATACCCCGAAATACAATCCAGTGCAAAAATCTACCTATTTTTTTTATGTAAAAGTAGCTTAGATTCAGTTCTGTGTTGGTCTCAGAGGTTTGTTAGAGAATGAGTTAAAGAAAACAAAACCAGGTCAGCTGTTAAGATGATTTAAAGAAAATCAGGTTATAAAACTTTGAAAGGTCTAATGTGAACTCTATAGGAGCTGCAGAGATCCCAACAGGCGGTACTTCGGTACAAAAAAAGCAAATAAAGAAAAACTTTTGAGTCAAAAATAAAATGCTGGGAGCTGCACGGCTGCAGCTCTAACACACAAGACGTAGGCAGCTCCCACTCTGCAGATCCACAGGCAGGAGATGAGAGGGATGAGTAAACACACATATGGACGGCATGGTGCGTCAGAACAGAAACAGAGAGGGACAGATGGTTTATAGTACAGAGAAGGCAGAACAGGGGGGGGGGACAGAGATGAAGGGAAAGCAGCAAACTGGGTGGAGGGGTAAAAAAACAGGCGGCGACGGAGCCACCTTCATGACGGAGCTATTTACATAAAGTACTCACAGCAGAGGGCTTTCTGCAGACGTCTGAGCTTCATGGCGGTGCGGTAGGCTGAGAACCGGACGTTGTTCAGGTCGGCTTAGGAAAACAAAACAGAAATTCTGGGTTTAAACGCCAATAACTTAACAAAAAACGCCTGTAGAGGTGATGCTTACCCAGCGACTGGTAGAGCTCCGTCATCTTGGGGTGGTCCCAGCATGTTGTCTGGGTCTGGTGGCTGGAAGGAGACAGAAAAGAACAAACATTTGGTGATTGAACCATCAGAGTTAAGAGTTTCAGACTGGTGATCGATCTCATTAGGGGAGCTTTTTTAGGCCCTATTGGTCTTTATTTTTGTTATATTCAAAGTATAGAAGTAAAGAAGAGACTCGAACCTGCAACAGCTGGTATTTGGGTGATGCCTTTTCTAGAGACTTTAAAGATATTTTATACTTTATTTTTCATACTAAAAATTGGTGATCTACAAGGTTCAATCTAGGATTGATTGGACCACTGGGCTGTACGATTTTGCCAAAAATTAAAAAAAAGCAATTTTTTAAACAAAATTGCTACTGCGATTAATTTTATTTACACTCTCCGTTAATGATAAGCACATGCTTGTTTATCCTATCCAATTTTATTTTTCAAACACTTCTAAAACTACCACAGCTGACCAAGGTACTGAACAGAAAAAATAAACATCACAAATAAACGAAAATGGCTCAAACAAGGGTAAAAGTAACATTCACACAATCAAAGCAATAAAATGGGATACAATAAAATAAAGCCATCCATAATGCTAGGTGTAAAAAGAAAAAGTGAAAAGGTGGATTTTGACAAGAGATTTAATAAACTGATGAGTCCAGAGCTTTGTAGGATATAGAAGCTTATGGAGATATTCAGGAATCTAAAAGCAAATAAAATAATTTTAAAATATATGGGATCCTGGCTTTTATTGTTTTATTGGCTTTAAATGCTGTTTACAGTCTGTTCTCACAAAACAGAACTGTTGCATTGGTTGGCCTTGCATGCACAGATCTTTAGGCTAGCTTCAATTCGGTGTGGCGGTAAACCCGATTTAAGCGCGTTCTCACCACCTAAAGGCCTGTAATCACCCTTCTGTTCCAACAAAGTGCTGTTTCACTATGCCTTCACAGCTGATTGCAGTTAGAGACGTTCAATCCACTACATCTCAGATGTGTCTGCTGCTCTTCAACATGGCGAACAAATTCATCAATTCAGTTTATTTCTATAGCGCTAATTCCCAACACACGTCATCCCAAGGCAATTTACAGTTCACCAGATCATCCAGTCAAATTGATTCAAACTTTTCTATCTAAGGAAAACCAGTTGATTGCATCGACTCATTGACTCAGATGCAATTCCTCACACTAAGCATGCTTGTAGCAACAGTGGAGAGGAAAAACTCCCTTTAACAGGAAGAAACCTCCAGCAGAACCAGGCTCAAGAAGACAGACATTGACACGTTTGTCTTATTTAGATTCCTATTATGTATCTAGTCTATCTCAATGTCAAACTGAACAAATTCAGATACCCAGCTGTCGTTACCCTAGCAACCGCTTAGCATTTCCTGTCTTCTATTTTGTATTGAGAGCCTTTAGAGTAAAAGCATACATTGAAGCATTGCAATCATAGCGGGATGGTTATTCATAACTTCACATCTCCATGACAACGAAAAGCTTTGCTTATATCAGTGGGAAAGGTTCTGAAAAGGTCCTGTTCTGATGCGCTAGTGTGCAGCCATCAGTGTCTGAAGGAATTGCTGTAGTTTTTCCAGCTGAAGCGACAAAAAAATTTACAGTGTGCGAAAAACTGATCAGCAATCCCAGCTGTAGATGCTAATGTGGGCAACTAGGTGTATTTCCAATCCTGTGCACTTTACATGGAACTGTTATAGCTTTCTTTTTGCTTCTTATTTGTTAATAAATAATATAAAGTCCATTTATATTTGGGTTGTTACCTGACAGTGTTATCTCAATTCATTCACATGGCAAGATATTTGGTTCATTCACTCAACAGTTGAATGGGATTTGAGATTCTTTCTTTAAGCCTACTTCATGTTGTCACACAGGTACTCTTCTGTGCTTTAACTCGTTAGGTAAAATAAAAACTCAGCTTTTCCAGGTAATCTTACCCAGTTACAAGTATTGGATTGGATCAGAAAATACTGGATGGGTGCATTTCCGTATTTACCCGACGTTTTAATAGTAAATATGCACCGAAACTCTGAAACCTTTTTAGTTATCATAACGCTAAGATTGTTTTCCAACCTTATCTCTGCCTTTTTCAACTTAAAGACACAAACCTTTACTTAATTGGTCATTTTTACAGATTTTAATCTGCAGCAAAAACAGCATCACTACTAAATGATAAATAGATTTTGTTTTTGATTTGGGCAGCTCATCGATAAAAGTTAAGCGTGGTGGAGTTTTAATTATTTCAATTTTGGATTTTGGAAAACAACACTGCTGTTTTCTTTTTGCCATTTGTTTTAAAACAGAAAAACAGATTGAGTCCTTATTGATAACAAGACTGCATAACATAACGGCGTCTCTCCAGCCGACAGTTGTGTACGTGAAGTGGATAAATCCAAGGATAAAAGTGAAATAACATCTTAGCGCACTCCTCTCTGCAGGTGTATGTTTCAGGTCAGGCTCCAATAGTAGGTGTGTGAAGTGGGTGACTGCTGAACGCAGTGGGTGGCTCGGCTCCACCGCTGCACTCAGCCAAACAAAGAGCAGCTGGGAGTTCATCCACGGACGTTTTTTTAAAGCCGTCCGACTCCTACCAGATGCACATGGTCCACGGCACCTGCACCTTAACCCCACTTGTCTCTGAAGCATACGCAAACAGCTAATCGGCCTGCGGGCTCATTCTACTTCCATCCTGCACTCAACCGTCCTGATAATGAGGAGGGGTCCCTGGTGAAGAGCTGCTCTAACATCCTCGGCCTCAGAGTGTGGATAAACAGAGGCTCGTCATGAGTGCGCCGCTCACACAAACGCCCCCCTCTGATTAAACGTGCAGAACCTGCTTTCATCTGCACTACAACAGCACAGTCACACTAAGAAAAGCTGTGGGCTCCTGCAGGAGTAAATATTATCAGTCTATTACTTATTTTTTCCACACTTTGTGTTTTTTTATGGCTGAATTGTGACCTTTAGCTTTCGGTGAGGCAAAAAAAAAAGCCATGAAGTTGCTTGGATGTAGTTCTGGCTTCTTTTGTAACCTCCTGGATGAGTTTCTCACTTTGTTAATTCTGGCTCTTGTTTTTTTTTCATCCCAGACCTTTAGAAACAGCTTTGCTACTATATGTATTTAATCTCTCAAGTTACTTTCTTGAAGCCTACTTCGTCTGGTCAGAAATACGGAAGAGGATTAGGGCCACTGAAAAAAAAAAAAAAGTTAACTGATTTTTTAATTTTATTTCAGTTTAGAAACTTTTTCTGACTTTTTTCTCAGAATTCTGACTTTAATCTCAGAATTCTGACTTTTTTATTGTCAGAGTTCAGTCAGAATTCTGAGATTAAATTCAGAATTCTGACTTTAATCTCAGAATTCTGACTTTTTTATTGTCAGAGTTCAGTCAGAATTCTGAATTTAATCTCAGAATTCTGACTGAACTCTGACAATAAAAAAGTCAGAATTCTGAGATTAAATTCAGAATTCTGACTTTAATCTCAGAATTCTGACTTTTTTCTCAGAATTCTGACTTTTTTCTCAGAATTCTGACTTTAATCTCATAATTCTGACTTTTTTCTCCAAATTCTGACTTTAATCTCAGAATTCTGACTTTTTTCTCAGAATTCTGAATTTAATCTCAGAATTCTGACTTTTTTCTCAGAATTCTGACTTTAATCTCAGAATTCTGACTTTTTTCTCAGAATTCTGACTTTAATCTCAGAATTCTGACTTTTTTCTCAGAATTCTGACTTTAATCTCAGAATTCTGACTTTTTTCTCAGAATTCTGACTTTAATCTCAGAATTCTCATTTTAATCTCAGAATTCTGACTGAACTCTGACAATAAAAAAAGTCAGAATTCTGACTTTTTTCCCATACTAAGCCGAAATAAAATGTAAAAACCAGTTAACTTCTTTTTTCTTCAGTTGCCCTAATCCTCTTCCGTACAGAAAGGTTCTACTCTTCTTTCATTTTTTTTTAGCTCTCAGAGGATTAAAAATATATATTTTATATTTATTAAATATTTTACCTCATAATAAAGTAAGTCATCATAAAACAAAATCTTATATGTTTTTTGCAAAGCAAAAAAAAGCACAATAAGGAATCAGATGTTTTTTTTTAGTTTCTTTAGACATACTCTTCATGTGGTCACACAGATTGTATTCTGTGATTTTTTTTTAACTATGTAGGTTGAAGAACTAAATCTACACAAATTTAATCTTTTAGTAAAACAAAAAAAAAAAGAAAAATCTGGAAAACTAAGAAAGTCTATGTTTTTTAAATTTCTTTCTTTATGCCTACTTCATGTCGTTGGAAAGGTTCTACTGATTTCTTTTTTTTAAACTCTGAGTAGGAAAAGACAGCTTTTCTTTTAGCTCGTAATAAATCACTATCAAACTAAATCTAATATTTTTTAATCAAAGCAAAAAAAAATCTGAGAAAAAGCTTTTAAATATTTAACCTTTTTAAGCCTACTTCATGCCGCCTCAAAGGTTCTCTAAAGTGTGTTTTTAACTGCAGTCTGGTCAAATAAAATCAATCACAGCTGTCTCATGATTTTTCCTTTCAGACCATCTAACTTTATTTAATTATAACCTCATAATAAATGTAATAATAATTATAAGGCTAAATCTTAAACTTTAAACAATGCAAAAAAAAACAAAAAACAACAACAACAAAAGAAGCAGATGCTTTTTGACAGTGCATTTCACCTAAAATCCTAATTCCAATATAAAATACGCAGTTAAGCTCTACTTTGAACATTTCTGCTTAAAGCAGACACAATCAGAGCATCTGACGGGTTCACCTCCCTCGTACCATGTTGGAACCTAGAGCTGCTGATTTCAGATCCAGCAAGCGGACAACCACATATCTCTGAGGTGTTGATCCATTCTGTGCCGACTGCATCACACGCTCTGCAGACCTGAGAGGTGGTCATGCGTGAAAGCTGACCGTAGATCAGCCGTTTCAGAGACAGTCAGACCAGTCCCTCTGGCACCAGCAAAAGTTCAGAGAATTTAAGCTAAATAGGTAA